AAATTAGGATAGTTACCAAATATCAGGCTTTGGCAGGATATTAAACACCTATTACTTAGTACTCCACCATTCACAGGAATTAGTATCTCTTTTAGGTGTTGGACACTGCAGATAATAATCAAGTTCAACCCCAATAGCACTTTTTTCATTTAATACAACTTTATTTATATCAGGTTTGTCATTAGCAACCTCATTGTAACAATCCCAATACGATATATAAAATCTTTTGTTGCAGTCTTCCAGCTCCAACCTAAAACTGAAACAGATGTCAGTCTCCGGATTATTGTCTGTTAGTCCGTTTATACTTTTAAACTAAAAACATTTTGGTGGGTTTCTACTATCTGTTCTTGTATATTTCGTTTCCCCGCAGTTAAAGTAAACTTTGTCATAACACCAGCAAAGGTTCTGCTACTTAATTAATCTTGCTGCTTAAGCTGGATGATAGGGTTTTGTTAGCAGTTTGGCGTTCTGCCATATCATGTTTATCTCTGTGTTTCAGAGTAGAAGGACCAATGACAGATAATTAAATGCCTTCGCTAGGTAATAAAACCAATAGATAATTTATTCTCAAAGCACCTTCCACACGATCCATAGTTGCAGCCGACGTTGATGTCTCACTTCTAAACTCAAACAGAATTATATTATCATATTCAAGCACAAACTTGTTATTCAAAAACATAATCATTTATCATCCATAGTAAGCCCTTTCATAAATAAAGGTAATCAACGATCACTTCGTACACAAAAAGGGGAGAAAACTAAATTGATCATAGTTCTACTAGTAAATACATACATACTAATTAGTTACTTATTTTTAACACTAAATTAAACTAGATAATGATTTGCAGCTTTTCCCAGTGGTCCAGTCTGCTTTACCCATAATAATAGATAAATATTGTCATATTTTTACCGTTTTAAGACCAAAACACAAAAACGCGCACACGTATTGGGTATTATTGTTTTTGTTATAATTCCGCACTATTGCTCGCGTTTGAATCGACTAGGGCACTAGGTCACTAAATCGAACGGCTTCATCCTCTGAAGACGACGCAGGACATCCTCGTTGTCGAGAAGCTGGATGGCCTCAATGTTGGGATGATCGTGCATTCTCTTCTCATGTTTACATGCAAATGATGCAATTTCTGATGACACCGATGCTACTTTCAAGTCGCGATCGAGGTCGGTGTTTCTTATATACCAGGGTGCATTCACTATGCACCTTAGCACTTTGTTCTGGAATCTTTGAATCAGACTTGCATTTGTCTTGCAGGTACAACCCCACAGTTGGATTCCGTATGTCCTTTTTGGTTTTAATACTTGTTTGTATATTAACAACTTGTTTCTTAGTGATAGCGTTGATTTTCTGCCAATAAGCCAATATAGTTGTCTAAATTTGATATCAAGTTCCTCACGTTTTTTTTTTGACGTGAGCTTTCCATTTGAGTTTGGCATCCAGCGCCATACCAAGATATTTTGCGGTGTCGGCGTAAGGGACTGCATTGCCATTTATGTGTACTGGGACATAGTTTACTTTCTTGTAAGTAAAGTTTATGTATGTCGATTTATTTGCATTTAGTTTTCTATTGAATTTAATGCCAACTGTAACTTATTTGCTGCAACTACTTAATTTTCTGCAACAGCCAAGATCGCTGTGTCGTCTGCGAATGTAGCTGTTAAAGTTTCTGGTACCTGAGGAAGGTCGAATGTGTAGAGTAAGTACAATGTTGGGCCAAGCACACTTCCTTGAGGAATTCCGGCTCGTATTTCATGTATTGGTGAATAAGCGTTTTCGTATTTTACTCTAAAATATCGATCAGAAAGATATGATTTTAATAGTTGACTATACGTTGATGGTAGTATTTGGTCTAGTTTGTAATTTAAACCATCTAACCAGACTTTGTCGAAAGCTTGTGCAACATCCAAAAATACGGCGGAGCAGACTTTATTTTCTTCCATTGCTATTTCGATAGTATTCGT